ACAAATCTTGCCCTGCCTATGTCCTTTCACTGTCTCAGCTACAACAAAGTACCACTGAAACTGGAAAACGTATTTGCTTAATACATCTCAAGGCTGCGCAGGTGATTATCCAGTTCCAATCAGAAACAGATATTACACTTTATCTTTGGCTATACGGGAGCCATGCATCAGTTGACTTTTACTCCACCTAACCTTGCTCTGAAAAAAAGAAACCTGAAAATTTGTTTTTGCTAAAAATAAATGGGAGTATAGGGAAAAAAGTGAAAAGAATTGGGTGCACTGTTGAATATGCACATACAGAGATGTTCATATGTCAAAGCTAACATCTTTAAACTCTGTGGTGGATTCCTGTGCACCCACCTCTGCTTACTTTCAGTATGTGATGTTTTGCTATTACTATCAGTTTTGTTAATCGCTATGTTTTGATCCTGGTTGTCGTTAGTAATGAAACATGCCTTTGAGTCGTCTTTACTGCTGATTGTGCTAAAAGTTCCCAAGACGTGGAGTCCGAACTTACTTGGTGAGACTTTTACCATGTGTTTTCTTGCTCAAGGACTGCTCAGCTTTCTGGGAGTAACCCTGTTATCTGTTGATTGTGGGCAAATGCAGATAGAGGGAGGGGGAAAAAAAAAAGCTGTTGAGCAATGCAAATATTTTTCTAACTGAAATTTGTGACTTAAAGTATTTTGTTCATACAAGCGGAAGAACTGTGTGTAGCCAAGACTTCTAAAGGAACTCAAGGATGAAATAGCTGAGCTCCTAGCTGCTCCGTATAATCTTTCGCTTAAAACTGCTTTGGTACCACAGGTTGGCAGAGGTATTTCAAAAATGTTCCAGGGAAAAGCTGGAAAATGTTAATCAATAAACCTGACATCTGTATAAGGCAAGTTAGTATACTAAAGAATAGAATTAGTGGACGCATGGATAAACGTGACCTACAGGGGAGGAGCTGCTGCAACTTTCGTTAAGGGAAGTTGTGCTTTGCAGCCATATCTGAGTATTTTGAAGAAGTCTATGAGGAATAAGGAAGAGCTGGCTGATGCAGTCTCTTGAGATTTCCAGAAAACATTTGAGAAGGGGCAGGAACAGGAAGGTAGTTGAACTGAGGGACTCCTCGCTGCAGGGTGTCACGGAGGCTAAAGGATTTGGTTGCCTCTAAGGGTGATTAGATGGACTCATGGAAGTGCAGAGAGCTCATCTCAGGTTCAGAAAGCGTCCCTGACCGCAGTTTTTTTTTTTCATGTGGGTGAAGCGTTCTGGGAGAGCGACGATGCGTTTTCATGTGCTCTCACGGTATCTCCTTGGCCTCCGCTGTTGGGCACTGTCAGAGACTGAGTAGTGGACCTTTCCTCTGCCCAAGTACTGCTGTTCTCGTGAGGATGCAGCTACATGCGTTGAGGCTTTCTGAAAGCATTGACGTTTTTAAATGACATACGCTCCAGAAATGCGTGCTTGTTACATGAATTGTTGTAATTTATGAACGCAGTGTAACATTAACAATGTTCTGAATGCAGTGTTGTCAAAATGTTTAGTTTTCCAGCAAGACGGCTGCTAACCTGGGGATGGAGTTGCAAAGTACAGAAGACATCGGTTATTTTGTACTAGGGCATGGTAAAATAGTATAACAGTCCTCAATCTGTAATACAGTAATTGATTTTTATCATGATCTATAAGTAAATTTAAAAATACTTTGAAAATTATTCTTATTTATCATAGAATACTCAAATATTTAATACTGCTGAACAGAAAATAAAACATATGCAGATGATATCTGGGGGCTATATAGCAACACTTAGGATAGAGATGGTGCTAAGGATAGGGGAAGAGTCGACCAAAAAAGTACTGCCTCTTCAGCAGTTCTAACCTAAAACGTATCCCAGGCATGGTTAAGAAATAGCTGGGATTAGACACACAGATCAATTATAGCATGAAACTTCATCCAATTATTTTCATATACAGTAATGTGAAGCACAGGTGAGGACATCAGATTACCAATTGTCTGGAAATTTTTGAACTTCTGAACTGTAAAATGTGCTTGCTTAGAAGAAGAAAAAAAAAAAATCTCCAGATGGTATTTTTGGTTTTCCATTCCTTTTTTTTTTAATGTATCATATTGATATGCAATATCCAGAGGTTTTTTATTCTATTTTGTATTATTCCAGTAAGTCTTGATATTTATACCAAAAATGTGCTGGCTGTCTCATGAAATTATTGAACTATGTGTACTGGCTTACCTGATATCTGACAGAGTGTAGTAATGAAGATGTAGTCTAAAAATCATATATATACACTTTGATTTATGGAAACTTAATTACTTCCAAATCCCAGTAATCTTATTCTTTTTTGCTCTTTTAATCAGAGAAATAGCATTAACTGTCTGGTTGAAGTGCAAGATCCGTTATTCAATAATCATTTTGTAATTATTTTAATAATTATTAACTGTTTTTTCCATTGTGCAAAAGAGAACATTTTTATGTAAAAATATCTATAAAACTTAACAGAGATTTAATTAAAGTCTTAGTCTAGAAATTTTACTCCAAAAAATGCCAAAATAGAGTAACGTTTCAACTGACAAATTACACATCTGTTTTAAATTGTTTTTTATTGTTATGAAGTTTTTTACTGTAACTGAATAAGAAAGAGAATCCTTTATTTTTCGAGTTTCATATGTGTATATGAAAATACCTGCATGAGATTTTCATACTTTAAACCATCTTTTTGCCTGATTCCAGGCAGCTTCTTGGACTAATGATGCTCAGGTTATGTTTTAGACTTGAGATTTTTGCACACAGCATAGCAGCTCCCTTTCTTGGTCTTTAAACAGCACCATTGTTGACTTCCCTCTCTAATCTAGGTGTTGTGAGGGAGGTCTCAGATCTCAGATGTCCAATTTTGTGTAATGCCTGTAGAAGGAGAATTCCTCACCCATGAGATGTGATGACACCTTATGTACTCCAGTGAAAATATTTTCTGCTGATTTTCTTCCATTTATAATAGTTTGTGAAATGGCAAAAAGGTTTTTTTTTCCTTTTTAAGTTTAAAAAAAAAAGTTATAACTTTACACAAACTAGCAAAAATATTCAAAGACAAACAGCACTTGAGACTGTGTAGTCAATAACATTCTAATTTAATGGTAGACGTCAGTATTCCTGTACTACTTTAAACCAGTCTGTAACATTTTGCACAGTTGTTATAATCTCTAATTGCTATAACTTATTGCAAAATATATCAGTTTATCGTTCGTTCTTTCTATGGTTTCTATGGTTCTTTCTATAGAAATGATATGTTAAAGGGCTCTGTGAAAAGTAGTACCAAGTTCAAGCTCTCTTATCCATCTATGTACACATTTACAAAATTAGGGTGTGTTTTCAAGCGATGTATTGAGAATGGAGAGTTGGTAACGTCTTACAAAAATCAATGAAACCATAATGAAAGTACGCAGATGATTGTATCATAAGTTCATTATGTCAGTTACAGAATTGAATTGTCATTGCCCTTTTTGGTGAACTGCTGCAAGAAAAAAAATGATGTTCCACTGCAAATTCTACAGCTTTTGAGAATGTATTTGGCCTCTTTGGGCTGATTTTGATTGCAAATCAAGTCCACCTGAATATTTATAAGTTAATAAATTATCCTCAGTGCTATCTGCTCTCAGTACTGGTCTCTACAGAACCACAGTGCGGTCAGATGGGTTCTCTTCTTTCTCTCTGCTCCTAGCTCTCAGTTATACCCTGAGCAGTTAAGATTGACATCTGGCATATCAAGAGCTGGTCTCAGCTCTTCATAACTACTTTTTTTTCTTTCTGACAGTTAGTTCTGTAGTTTGAACAGAACAGGCCCACAACCGCTGAAAAATCATCCTTTTAAGGGCAGTAAATACTTGCATTATTTGGACTAAGTCGCTCCTCCACATCTCTTTCAGCAACTGTGTATAACTAGAGTAAAAACGTTGTACACCTTGGCTACACCGAGATAGCTGACTTCCACCCTGGAAGCCTTGGACTTTTTTCTTAAGCTGAGCTTTTAGCTGCTGAAGGCTACTGCTAGTTTCGGTTAATAAATGCCAACTTGACTAAAGGTCTCCTATCCCATGGTTCCTGAAAAGTGTTCTAGTCCATGGTAATCAGGTTGCTAGTCATCTCAATCCATTTTGTTGTTCCAGACTCACCATGTCATGACAAAGCCTTTCCAAGTTGTTCAGATGTGTTATGGTTTCTGCCCTCTCTACCATTTTTCAGTCCTTTCAGGGAATTTCCAGATGTTCTTTCTGTTCCTTTTATGAAGGTTCAAGCTTTTGTTTTAATTTCTCCTGAGCTTTTTTTTATTATTTTTTATTAGAAAAGTGTTCCTGAAAAAAACAAGGAAGTGAGGCATATGGTGGTTGTTACATCATCAATATGAACAATGGGAAACAAATGCAATTTTAGGACATAGTTACAAAATACATGACATAAGATACCTGTAGGGTTTTCTAATACCATTTGTTGTATTGACAGAGAAAACGCCCTATTATTCTATGCTGTCTTTGTAATATTACTTTGTTGGAAAAAAGTGTTAGTAGTGTAAAATCAGTTATTCTCTCTGAAGAGTGAGGTAGAATTGTTTTTCTTCTATAGTCATTTCATCAACGGACTGATCCTTCTGAAAAAAGAAATTAAAAGAATTCTGTATAATATATCTGCTAACAGAAGGGATTTATATCCATCTTGGTTGATAGATAAATATATAGAAATATCTCTATGTTTGTCTGTATGTGCACATATGTATATTCCTAATTTGAAGAGAAAGAGCTATTCTATAGTAATAAAACGCTGAAATAGAAGATGTTTCACATGATATAGGTCCATTTATTAGAAAGATGAAAGACTGTACTCTTCCAGGAAATTTATGAAAACTGCTACTCAGAATTTCATTTCAATATCATTTCATGTATACCTTTAACTCAGTTTTCCCATCACCAATTTTGACCTCCATAGTTTCATATCTTTAATATTTTACAGCTCTGATAGCTATTGGACGATACAGCATGACAATAGAGACAGTAGATGTTGGATGGTGTAAAGAAATCACAGACCATGGAGCCACCCAAATTGCACAAAGCAGCAAGTCTCTCAGATACTTAGGGCTGATGAGATGCGATCAGGTAAGCAGCTTTTGCGTCAACTGGAGTCCGCTTCTGAGCGAGTGCAGAGAGTGTGTGTGTGTGTGTGTGTGTGAGAGAGAGAGATTTTTATTTTTCTGTACAAATAACTTTGGTATTCGCTGCTGCGGAAACTCTTTTAGTGTATTGGGTTTACATGTTTAGCTAAAAAAGTATCTAGAGAACTAAAAAGAACATTATAAAATTTTTGCTGACACAGATTTCTGAAACACACGCATAGACTATTTGGACTGAGGTGCTCACACCAGGAAAATCTGCTTTCTGAGGATTTTGACCGTTTTTGGCTAAAAGTGATTGTTATGTCATATCATTACTATGACAGATTGCTTGCTTTTAAAAAAGAAAATAAAAAGAAACACAAGAATAATAAAACTGTTGTGGTGTTACTTCCAGAGAGATTTTTCTACAGGTCTGTGTTCTTGCTCACTTCTGATGCTTTTGGAAACACAATGGGCAAGGATTTGGATAATGCTAAAAACAAAAGAAAAAGTATTGAATTTCTTATTATAGAGCTTTCCCACTTGGACTGTACTAAGAATGCCTTAGGTTAATTTTACTCTTTTCATTAAATGTAATAGTCTGTAAAGATTTCTGTTAAACAGAATACTAGTTTGTAATTTCATAATTTGAAAGGAACTGAATATGGGTGATAACTTCCCCCTGAACTGAGAGACAGGCATGTTAACTGCATAACATTTATGTGGGGGAGCCTTTAGGGAAAAGGGGAGATTTGGGATTAGCTTGTGTTAGAGCTAATGAGTTTCACATCAGGAAGTCCTCAGTCAAAATGTCAGTTTGGTTGGATGGCCTGAAAAGTAGGAATATTCAGAGGAAGGACAGAAAAAAACTAGTGCATTCATGTCTTACCTATTTTTAGAGCCTCGATTAAAATATATGTTCTTTATCTCTATGAGCATATTTATACTAGAAGTTCAACTGTATTGAATTCATATTTTTTAAACTGAAGCTTTCTCCTCCCATATTAGCTTGAATAAAAGCTCTTGAGTAATGTTAGGAATGATAGCAATGAATTTAACTAACCCCTAAAATTCTTTCAGCCTTTTTCTTTTTTCTTTTTTCCTTTTCAGTACTCCATCACTACTCATTTTTGTATAAAGAAGAAAAAAAAAAAAGAAGTTTAGTTCTAGTTTAATTAAAGCCTGAAACATATTTAAATATATATGCCCTAAGTCTCACAAATAATGAATATCTTAAATGGAGTCTTTGTGTCTAGAGCCCCAGTTCATAGTTTCGAGAGTTTGATAGATATAGGCTGGTGAGTTTTGCACATTTGGATATATGGTATACCTCGTGTCTATCCTCTCTTCTGCTTCTTCCCATAAAGCTCATCACCCTTTAGTCCTGTCGTATGGGAGAAAAGCGTGATTCCTGGGATGTGATTTAGTTGGTTCATAACTTTTAAGTCATTTCAAACACTACTGACGCTAAATTGTGCAGTTATATGTTAGCATTCTTTTGGGGATTGTTTCCACATGTTTGAGGGCTGCCTTCTCCTTGCTGCATTCTAGTTTATCAGAAAATTGAACCCTTTGGGTAATATACACCTAACAGGAAATACGCTACTCATCTGAACCTTCTTACATACTCAGCTGCCTCCCTGATGCCTGTAGGGAGCGTACAAAGCAGGTCCATCTTCTTGTAGCTGGCAAATGAGGGAAAAATTCTTGTCTCCAAAGAAAAGAAGAAATTAGCGCATTTCCTAACACTTTCATACAAGTTGTGTAAATGGCAGTAGATTGCCCTCCTTCATAATTGTTTATTGGTAGTTACAACCAGTCCCCCATTTCCATCCAGCTCTTAGAGGAGGATGCCTCTTAGCACTTCATCACTAGAAGAAAAGAGAACAAGACAATCCAGCACCATATCACCCTGTACATAGGCTTCAGGAATCATGTTTTCAAAGATCTATTAGTTCAGAGAGAGAAAGAGGTCTGGAAACAGGGCAGAAAGAGCTAAGAGTCGCTGGTGGTTCAAAGTCTCCGATCTCAAATCTGCAAATGCACCTGCAGGGCTTGTTTCTTTTTCAGCCATTGTGAACCAAACCTCAATGTCCAGGTTGTGATCCCCATCAGAAACATCTCTCACAGGTTGCAAAGTTCTAATTGGATACAACCTGTAGAAACACAATCTGTTAGTCTAAGGTGCTTCATGAGCAAAAGCACTCCCTTGCGTTTCTTGCAATGCATCTGCTTTATAGAGGACAATTTAAAAAAAAAAAAAATCAGCTGTCAATGAACAAAAATTTCTAACTGAGTTAGAAATTTTTAAAAATATCATTTTGCAAGCTCAACTTTAGAAATTTTCCAGAGTGAGGGGAGGGCAAGCACTTTGGAAGAATTGCTCTGTCTGTTAAAGCTGACTCTATTTAATCTCCTAAACTTTAGTGTTTTGTAAGAGCCCGTAGAAGACAGAGTGTATGAGTCTCTTTGATGAATTGGGCTAAGATTATGTACTTAGAGAATGTTCAAAGGGCTACTTGACCTTGGGAATTAGATCTGACCCTGAATCACCTGATCAATTTTACATATATTTATTTTGTGGATTTAGCTACTGTTGTACAATCAACGTGGATCTAATAAGCGCAATAATTTTATCCTGTCTTCAGCTGCTGTAGAAAATCAATGACCTTGATGCTGAAAACAAGTTTTACTACCTTATCAGTTAAACTATATGAACTGCAGTCTGTATTCCTCTAATTGGTGGTTAATGTTTTCCTAGTTCTTTACAAAAGATTGTACACCGTCTTTTGTGTTGTGAAAGCCAGCTGAACTAAAAGAAAAAAACCTCCTTTCTGAGAAAGCTCCAGGGCAGATAGAAAAGCAGTGTTGACTCTGCATGCATGCGTGTGTGTGTCTGTATTCAAAGTATGGTAGCTAAAACTTGATAAGAGAGGAATAAGTGCTGTAAAAGCAAACACTGAGTACTAGGACTACCACTGGGAACCATTTTCCGGCTTCTGAAGCTTTGGTGGGAAAAATAGTTCCACAGAGAGAATGAACAAAGTATCCTTGACTTTTGAGAGTTTTTGGCAGCTAGAAGATGCCAGCTCCCTTTTTCCACTGCAAAAGAACAGAGAAATTACTGAAGAAAATCATGTCTTCAGCTGTCTCTCCCCAATATCATGCAGGCCTAATTTTTTCCAGTGGCTGCTCTGTTAGGTTAAAAATGTCAATGTCCAGCACATCATTAAAGAGAAATCTTGGGTGGTGCAGAAGGGTTTATTTGCATGCTCCTTTGACTGAAATTCTTGAATATTCTTGGAATATTCTCAGCTTGCGATGAGAAGTTAGAAGATTTGGCCCTTCTGATCAGCCTTCCTCTTCCAAGGCACTGATTGTTGTGCTTGTCCCAGGTAGCATTTATGCCTTTCTAGGAATTCCTAGGCATTAAAGGAGAAGCACTTAAACACAAAGTTACATAAGGAACATATGTAAGTAGACTTCAAATGGTTACCAGTAAAATACTCTTTATGACCCAGTCTCTTTGGAATTTCTTTGATATGCAGTTGACATAAATTAGAGGCGTCAAGGGTCCTCCCAAGAAAGATCAGAGAGGCTGCAAGCCTGGGTAAAGGCAGGCTCTGTTTTATTCCATTGATTATCTAAGTGCCTCCGGGCAATGGGTTTCAGTGGATGCAGAGTGTTATTGATCCACACCATGAAAATAATCAAATTATTCATTTCTCATCAAACTGCTGTTGCCATGACCTTTCTTTTTATCATGTTCCCTACCATCCAACATGCACACCACAGCAGCAAAATGTTCTTTGCCTTAAAATAAATGTCATTATCTTTGGAAGTCTCATAAAACATGCCGACTTCACCATGAGATCATCATAGTGAGAGCACGTATTTAAGTTGGAGGTTTTTTAATAAGCATTTTAATACTTAATATTCAACATCGAACATCATAATGACTGTTTAGAGAAATCCAGAAAAGAGTGAAGTCAAAGATCGGTAAATGTTTAAAGCCTTTCAGAACTACCATAGTAGAAATTTGCTTTACAAAACATGTTTATGCTCAAGTAAACAAAATCTAAACATTCTTTACAATGTCAAAATGTTAGAGGTTTACGAGAAAATATATATATATTTTTTTAATTTTCCCTAGCACCTTTATGATTTAGGTAAATCTGGCTTATGAGATATTTGCCCTGCACTACACAGCTGTGGTATCTGAGATGATGAAAGTGCTATGGATGAACTGATATTATTGATGCAGGGCAGTGTGGACATACTGGCTTAGGTCCTGAAAGCAGCTTGACTACCAAAGTACAGCACCTTGCGAGGAAAGTCATCAGTCAGCAAGGCTCATGAGATACAGTCATATGGATATGCAATATAACTTATTGCTTCCACTTCCATGACTAGCTCAGGTAACGCTAGCTTGATGATATCTCAGGTAACGCTAGCTTGATGATATCTACAGGGTCCTACATTGTACGGTATAGATACAGTGAGCCCAAGTCCCATTATTTTCAGTAATACATACACTTCTGAGAGCTTGTAATCTAGACCTTCAAAGGTATTTTGATGTCCAGATAGAAGATAGGTACCTAAAAATACTTAGGTGTCTATATTTGGGACAATAAAATTCACTGGTTGCCTAGTGATAAGCATCAATATATACTCAGAAGCAAGCAGGCACTTCTCCCATCCGATCTCTTTCAAGGTACCAGGTGTGGGTGGCAGTGCACAAGCCACAGCTACATTCCTGAAAGAGCCTGATCTGTTAAGACATATTGCTGTTTCCCACTCAGAGTGTGGAGCGCTGTACAGTTTTCCCGAAGTGCCTCTTTCTCTGTGTACAGTATGTGCTGCGTCCAAACGTGTGTATTGATGTGTATATGTATGTATGTGCGTGTACAGGCACCTAACTGACTTTTGGAGACTGTGTGACTTAGGTGTTTCATGAAAAGTAAATGTTGCATTTCTGATTCCGCATCTCTTTTGAAAGCAGTA